TATCGCCGAAATGAGCAGAATTATAATTAATATACATAAAATATCAGCAGAAATGATAATCATAAGCCGCAGAAAGCGGAGCAGATTTTAAAATAAGCGCCGGCAGATTTTGAAAATTTTCGCCGCCGGAGATTATCGTCCCTGGTAGCCAATCAGAGAGAAACTCCATTATGCTGTAGTCTGCTAATCAATTTTTAGCCTATTACCACGTACACCCGATTGATAAATGGAGCTTTAATCGCGTAGAAGAATACTATCGTACAAAAACAGGGCTGAAGGAAAAGAAGAAGTTACTGGACAGCATTAAAAAAGATCTTCAAAAAGTTAGGAATAAATCCGAATTTGACGCGGAACGTAGAAGTAAAGCTGAAGAAATTATCAATAATTGGAAGGTATAATTTATTAGGATAAACACTTGAATGGATGAACGAGTTAAAGAACTTGCCTAATAATGGTTAAGTTAAAAGCTTCTAACAGTGATGAACTCTTCGTTCGACACTAAGTGCAAGCTGGGACTCTTGGTCTCCAGTGATGAACTCTTTGTTCGACACTAGTGCAAGCTGGGACTCTTGGTCTAAAGGGATAGCACTCTTCATTCTTCATTCGGCACTTAGCGCAAGCTAGGACTCTTGGTCTCTAGTCATGAACTCTTTGTTCGCGCTTCATGTTTAATTCTTCTTTTTATTCTATATTGTTATGTGAATTTTTTCTTCATTACTTGTATTACTCGTATTACTTGTATAGGAATGGTCCGGACAAACAACGAAAGGCTCTATGATGTCGGTCAAAAATTTAAAGGTAGACATCTCATCTGAAAATTTGTGTGACAGAAAAATACTAAGAGATGTTTCTTTAATTAGATAAATAAAGTAAATCAAGTTGCAACAAGTGGTGCAACCCAGTTTAACCACAGTCATATTATTGGAGACGGATTTGTTTCCACAATAACGCGAAATAACTATAACAAAGCACCCACATATTAACCATGATGATATCGACATCAAAAGTGGTGCAACCCAGCTTAATCGCGATCATATTATGGGAGACAATTCCACTGAGGCTGATAGGATATCGAAAAAAAGAAAGCAAGCCGAAGATGCAGAAATAGGCCCAATAACTACGCCAAATAACCATGACAAAGCACCCACAGATATTAACCATGATGATATCGACTATGATGATATTGACAATGAGGATTACGAGGTTGATGAAAGTTTGGATCCTATTAACAAATCAGAATTAGGTTCCAAGTTTCTAACTGTGCAAAAGTATCCTGACGAATCGAGTCCACCTGATTTCTGGAAATTGCCTTCTGGTTGTAATATACAAGAAGTTATACGCAGAACAACTTATTTACATAAATCTCAGTAAGTTTAAATTTATTATTTTTCTTTTATGCATTTCAAACTAACAATAATTTGTATAGTCCCTCACATTTAAACATAATACGTGTTGGTACAAATGTGCAAAAACCCGAATTCATCCAACTGGATGACTGGAATTATTTCCAATCAAGTGTTGAATATTCTAATGTTAACTTATCAAACGGTGTTGAAGTTCTAATTAATTCACTGTTACGTACCGTGAGTATTAGTTATTAACCTAATGAACCTTTTGTTTTCGATGGAAAATGTTATTTATATTTATTAATTAAAAATAGGATACACTCTCTGATTACCAACAATGTCTACATGATGCGCAATTTGATTATAATAACAAACAAATGGTCTTTGTGATTAATGCTCTTAAATGGTTGTAAGTGGCTTTTTCCAAAATAATATTGTTCATTTATAATATTTATAATATTATCTTACTTATTTTTTAATTTTGAAAGTGCAACGAACGTTTTTCCCTTTAAATCTACATTTCATAGTCTCTATAAAGGTGAAGCCATTCTTGGATCGCTGATGGTCCATCCCATATTGCAATACCTTGTTAACGCAACAAATGGTCAACCCTATTATGTTCCGTACGTTTTTTGTTTTTCAATTCTAATACCAAAATCAATATTTAATTTTCATTAAGCATGCAAGTTTCTTTTTAAACATAGTGGTGAGATCTGTATTAAAGCAAGTGCGAGTCAGCGTTTTATAAGACGTGACTTAAAACCAACTGACGACAAGCCATTGGGTATGAAAGTCGATGGAATGTTTTGTTCTCCCGGTGAGCAAGGATACGAAATAGGCATGGTTGAATTGTCAGGTGGCTATTTAACATTTGATATGCCACGTTACTTAAAAGATCATATCAAAGGATTCTGTGGTTGCCGTGACCTTCTCAATGAAATTTTTCTCAAGTATAGTCTAGGTGATTTTAAAATCATGCGACATCTACGTGTCTGGTTTCTGCATTGTCATGGTTAGTTAGTTTCAAGTTGTTTCTTTTTGATTTTATATTTATTAAATAATAACTTATTAGCATTTACCTATAGGTTTAAATGTTCAGGTATGGGGCATGGATTTGCCTGTTTTTGGAGTATATAGAATGTTTCTTGTTGACACTTTCGAATTTCCAATCAGTTGGGATGAACATTATAAACTTGTACCGGCACTGAAAATTTTATGGAATCTGGGAGTTAGTAAAATCTAATTTCTATTCATTCATTGTATTATATATATTTCATTCTGATTTTTTTTTTTTGCAGATTGGTTTAGACAATACATTTGAAGTCCTTGAAAAACTTAAAAAGTCTCACCGCAAAAACGTAACAATCGATAAGCAATCTTCCACACTTAAAAATATTATAAGAAATATGGAAAATTCACCAAGGAAACCTACTGGAAAAGGGTCGCGTATCGTAAATCCGATCTTTCGCGAGTCAAACCACTAGCTTTATTTTATATTACACTGCATTTGCATATGAAAAGTTCTATCCTCAATTTCTTTACTATGTAATTTTAAATGTTTGAAAATTAATTCTTTACACAATAATACACAATAACGTAATAAAAAGTGAACATATACATGCTTTCAAGGAGGGTTTCAAGTTGGCGTGTGGTAAAAGTCACACCTAAAATGATGTTATGAAAAACCGTGACATTTAAAATTTTTTACATACAGTAATATTGATGTAAAACATAAAAATAATACAAATATCGGAACTTTGTCCGTGATACATGAAGTTTCTATGCTAATATACAAGCGTCTTACGGCCGATTATTCCTTTTCAAAAAGTCCTTGACCCCGTTGCTTTTTCATTGCTGGCTTCTTCTCAACGTCCACCCTTTCCCTCAATAACCCAACAATAACCTCCATCACCCGCTTCACATTTTTACACGACTCCTTTTCATCCTCCGAACCTGCTTTCAAAGCAGTCTCGATAAAACGAATATTGAGTGGATTTCTACTTGTGCAAGAAATCCCGTCTGGTGTATAAAGGAGAAAATGCCATTCCGTAGCTGTAGTCACGATCCCGAAGAGATAGTCATATTCTTCACCGAAAGCATCATCCGCTTTTCGTCCTCTTGTTAGTTTGGAAAGTACTTTCGCATTGTATAACATTCTGTAGACGACCAGAGGCAGTGATGTACATTTTCGATGTCCCAAACATTTTGAGACTGTCCCACACTATGTCCCAAAATGTCCCACATTAAGTCCCAATGTCCCAGGCCATGTCCCAAAAATGTCCCATGACAACACTGACCAGAGGTATTAAATCAGTTATGGAACAGGTCTCAAAAAACTCTGGAACAAAAAAATACTAACCTGAGCGAACCCAATAGCAATTTAATATTGTTTACCCTCCGTGATGCAAATTAATTCCTCGAATGCTTTGATTGCGTAATCCACACGACCCGTATTTTCCTCACCAACAACTTCGAACTGCGGATTTAGTGATATTTTTTCAGTAAGTTCTCTGACTATATATTAATACGAAGGATTACTGAAATATATTCACAACTAATTGCTTCGTTACTTTCAACGACAGGTCCCATATTACGTAACCTGAGTCGTATATCCTTAAGGCAGTGTACCAAAGCTTCGTTTTTATCATTGATGTTGTGGGGTTCTTTATAATACAATATGTTAGTTATACAGTTCTGAAGGTCTAGCAAGTTAAAAAAAAATAAGCGAAAAACATACTTGGTGTAAATTACGGTATGTCCGTTATTCGCCCATCAACGCCATACTTTGCTAACATTTTTTTCAAGTCCTTATTAGTCTTGTAAGACGAGAACGACTTTAATTTACGCTTGCCAAGTTCCCTAGCGAAGTCAGCAAGTCTCGAGGCAGGTCCGGACTTCATAGTTATATCTCTGAAATCTTGCTTGGTCATTTTGAGAAAATCCCGATCATTAATTCTCTCCTTTTCGATTATATCATAATCCTCCTGAACAAGCTCCAAGTCCTCCTCCTTACGCAAAAATTCTATAATCTCCTTCGTTTTATATTTTTGAACCACCTCAGCTTGAGTGGGAGCATTTTTTTCTTATGTTGCAGTGACGCTAGTAGAAGTGCAAGCAAGCGTTAATATATGTTTTTATGTTGCACATCATTACACGTGACCCACTTTCTCGATAAAATAATCACTTTATGAAATAAAAAATATTGCATAAAATTGCAAATATTTCGCGTTACATGATGCAAATAAAATTGCTAATTATTCATCTTGGAAGTATACAATGACATGAATGGGACCTATTTTTCCATCATATTGGAGATAAGGAGGGTTTTCTTTAAGTCGATTTATATATTCTATGATGAAATCTTTTGGGAGGGCTCCATCAATTTCCCTCTTCTTTTTTCGGTAGGATCACTATTCACAGTAGAGACCAAAGCATGATTGGCTTGAGCGAAATCTTTATTATATAGATCAAAGTTTTTGTGAAGTAGGTCTTTCCAGACCTTTCTGATTTCATCTCCCAACTTTTCAACAGTCAAATTATTATCAATTTCTACGGGAAAAATATCTTAGCCTTCACCACGAACAAAGCAGACGAGACGAATATTACTAGTAGTGGAAGACATTTTGCTTTCCTAAATACAATAACCCATAGTGAGAAAACTCGCTCCCATGTCCAAAAGGCACTAAAGCATAAGCATAACTTCTGGCTTATACATACCTTAATTTTTTGCGGGAAGGTTGGCTGAACTTCCACATATCACTACATACTTTATATCTTGCTGGTAAAAAGTTAAGGAGATATGAGGCATAATTAACTTTGTCGTATTATGCCAAGAGTTTTTTGAAGGCACATGCAAATAGAATCCTCATACCTTTCACATGGAGATCTACCTTACAAGATATATAGTTGGTTTTACGCCTAGCGATCTCAGAAATACGAGTCTACCAGCCCTTCATAATATATGCTTTTGTCGTCATTATTTACTTATAGGGAAGGTCCTGTGTTGAGACTAGGTGCTCATTCACATTTTTCTCACATTTGTTTGGGAAAAAATAAAGAACAAAGGTTAATATGCAAAATTAATGTCACACAAACCCTGTGGCTCAGCAAATTCTTGATCAATATTCTGGACACGCCTGGATCGTACCTTCCTTCGTTGCTTATGAGGAACAGCCTTTTTTTCTCTTACCTCAATTAACTCAAACAAATTAGAATTTTGGAAGAGTCAGACGAATAGGAGGAATCCTTACATTTTTTGATATTTGGCAAGAGAACTATTTCATGTATTAAGTCGACCACAGTTTCTTTATCTACACATTTGGGGTGAGTGCTGGGAAAAAGGACCAAATCGACAAAAAATTTTTTTTTGAAATAACAAATGATCTAAGTCAGATGACCAAATCTACATCTATTTTACTTAGGAACTTTTTTTTTAAAAAAAAATCAATTTGGTCCATTTTCCCAGCACTCACCCCATTTGTCCAAATCTTCTAATTCGACATTTAAGGATCCAACATCTCTTTCCAGTCTTTTTACCCTCCTTTCTAAAATGTTATATTGGGAATGATAATCTTCTAATTGTTTTTTTAGTGCTCTATTTTCACTAAAAAACACACTATATATTTCTGCATTTTGCTCGTTTAGTCCAAACATCTGAGCTAATTTTTCTGTGTATCTGATAATAAATTAATAAATGATATCCTGATCCTCTAATCCATATACAGTATATAATTAGTTTTCATCAAAGAACTTGAATGCCTTTGCCTGGTCATAAGGTTGCCCCCTTTGACGAAAATTGACTATAATATAGTTTTGCGCTGAGGAAGCATGATTGTCAGGGTTGTGTCGAAGGGCTTCACCGGCAATGATCATAGCCTCTGATAAATTCTTTGCACCATTTGACATGACTGCAAATACTGCCCCTAATTTACGCAAATAGCTAGAGAGAAGTGGTTTACCAGTTTTGGGAAGAAATTCATCTTTTTCAGAAATGTATTAAACCATTTAACTCCTGATACTCCTGGATCCCTCAACTGTCCAGAAGAAATTGCATCCTGGATCCAAGTAAGGAGAAGTTTAGCCCACTTTTCATCTCTTTCTAACGATCTAAACACCCGAGGATTATCCTGCTGATCTTGGTTTTTTGAATATCCAGTTACACTTCTATTAGAAATGTGCAAGTTTTTAATTTCAGCGGGATGGACACAAAGCATTATCATTACATCAGCAAGGGCTTATAAGTCAGGAACATTGGATACATTATACCTATCCAATTTTTCTTTAACCGATTTTAGCGAGAAGTGGTCAGAAAAGTCGATTCCTTCATTTTCACGTTGCTCTCTACACTCCTTTTGAATTTTATTAGATGAACAGGTTATCTCTGGAATCAATGTAACTGATACAATTTTTTCAGAGGCTTCAAGGTTTCACAACTCACTTCAAAGCCTAAAGATTTGGGATGAACCAGCGCTAGCATTAGGTGCAGATTCAGCTAAGACTTTAGCTATAAATACTACATCTTTTTCGCTAAGATTATCCTGGGTAATTCGTTGAGCTATCATTTTGACAGTTTCTTTGTCTGAGATGATGTTGGATACTTGGCATCTATTAACTTTCCCTGCTTCATTCCCTCCTTCTTTGGGGTTTACTCGACTTCTACTTCGACAAATTCTCTGATTAGAAACTAATATAAATGCCTGCTCTTCGCTAAAATTATATCCTTTTTGAAAGCACTGTCAACCTTTGTCTCTTTTCACTTTATCTGTCAAAAGCTCAAGTAATGCTGGAATGTGCTAGCTAAGTTCATCATTGCTCATCTCTTTATTGAGTTTGTGGTCTGCAATGTACTTTGTTACAATTGCGAACATGATAATGTGGATATGAAGTAACTATTAGATTATGTATAACAGTTAGGTTATACTATACATAAAAAAGTTCAATTCAAAAATATTTCTGAGCGAATAAAAAAAAATAATTCAGAATTTTAATCTTATCCAAATACCTTACCTATAAACCGGTTTCTTACTTGCTTTTTACTAAAGCATATCATTCTTCTGGAGTATGCTTACATTTTTTTGCCACTCCTTGTCATCGTAAATATATTTCTGAAATTTTCTTACATTCTCAAACTTCTGGAAATATATTTCTTCACTTATTAACCTTTCCCTTTTAGTCATATAAAATAAATCATTCAGGTTCATTTTATTTTCTCTAGCAAATTTGATAACTTCTGCGTTTGCAATCATCCTGTCTCGATACTCCCGAGATAAGTTGACGTCTTTTTCTATAATCATCATAAACTTATCAGGGTCTTCACCATGATCAATAGCCATTTTCTAAGACGTTTTTTTCGCTGAATTCTTGTAGATAATATTTCATTATTACTGGGTTTAGATGTTTTCAACAGATTACTAATACGCTTGATAGGCTTGGGAGGTTTGCTAGTTTCAGGTTTATCAATTACTGACTCAGATAGTTCAGAAGCCTTAGTAATTTCAGATGTCCCATCTGTTGAGGCAACTGAAGTTTCAGTTTTTTATATTTTTCGGGGAATAATTCTGGCATATTGAATATGGATATGCCTGCTATCTTATTTTCAGGTAAGTCGGATTGAGATGTATCTTCAGAAAATTCTTCAATATCGCCTAGGCCAGATTCATAAAGCTTAGCTATAATTTTAGTGCAATCGAGAATATACTGCTATTCCCTTTTTCCACCACCTATTTGTACCTGTTTACTCTCAATTCCAATTTGAAAAAACTTCTTTCCAGCAACTTTACCAGCCAATGGTTTTTCACTATTCTCTTCACACCAATCAAGATAATTTTGATATAATGCTATATGACTTCTCCTATCTACATTATCAATAGGTCAAGATGTAATATGATCAATCATAAATCGAATGGGATTGGGAAGCTGATCACGCATTGTATCTACTTTCATTTTTGTAGAAGTGATCTTTCCCAGATTCCAGTTAGATATATCATGATTAAGAAGGTATGTCATAACTACTCCTAGTGTATCAGGATGGTTAGAACTTTTCCTAACTAGCTAAAATATACTGTATTACCTCTACAGTAGTGATATACATTTTCGATATTCCAAACATTTTGAGACTGTCCTATACTATGTTCCAAAATGTCTCACATTAAGTCCTAGTGTCTCAGGCCATATCCCAAAAATGTTTTATGACAATATTGCTCTACAGCATGCTGAAACATCAAAGTAGACTATATGAGAATCTCCTATATCTATCTTAAGCAGTACATCCTGATTGCTTGTAATCATATATCCAGCATAATCATTTATTCATATAGTTTCTAAGCTTTTGCGTTCTATAGCTATTTTCCCTTCTGTTATAAGGGATTTGAGATGTTCATTAAACCTATGTCATTCTCCACTAGACATCCCTGTCTCATTCATAACAATGCTTTCTAGCTTGAATAGCGCTATTAAAGCGTCTAAGAATTTTACCCAAATCTGATATTGCAAAATGAAAATGCAGATCCAGAACTTTATTCCCAATAAAATCTGTAATAATATTTTTCCCACATTGCTGAAGCATAGATTTTAAGACCAAAATTGAGCAAGGCTTCTTTTCTGGCTTTTGCACTAGATATGCCTACCAATTCCAAAGATATTTGTGAAGCTTTACATTTTTATCTCTGATTATATTCTACATATATCAGAGAATGGGATCCATAATTTCAGAATTAATCTTATCTATCGATTTGGCTAGAAATAATAGAAAAAGATTAAAATACTTAGTAGTTGGACATGAATATTTCAAGGAATATAGGAGAAAGTTAACATCATCATAAAGTATTATACCTTTGATAACTGCTTGACTTATCAATGATTTTAACTTTATCGATTCCCCTCCATATTCGATTATATTAATCCCAAATTTGGCAAGATCTAGTTTAGGTACCATATCGAAATGAAGGCTATTTTCTGGATCTTTGAGCTTGAGTATCCAGATCTGTGAAGTTTTCTGAATACAGGCAACTGATGCCTGAATCGCTTCATAAACTTCAGAACAAGACAATTTTTTACCTGAAGTACACATATGCAATAGGTCATTTTATACAAAATGATCATTATGATTTGTAATTCTTGATTATTCTAGTTTTACAGGACTTAAAAGCTTTTGTTTTGATCTAAAGCAGTTTTGCTAATAGTAAGTTTTTTCGAAGGCTTTCTTGTTTTAGATTGCCTATCTTGATTTGCACAATAGCAGAATAAGTTATAGGATTTTATTTCGAATAATATATGCATTATTATTATCATGTTCTCAGTCACATATTATACAGTGTGATAGAGAGATACATAATAATGGAAATTTGTCAGGAAAGTTTTCAGATGGGTATGAGAGACTATATCCTTCGATGCTAACTTCTTGAAGTAGTATCTCTATTAGTTTGAATTCAGCATTGGTGGTAGTATTATTTATGTTAGGGAATCTTTCCATTTCTGGCTCTAGAATAATTAAGAGAGGACTTTCTGCGATTTCTGATTCATCATTGGGAAGACGAATCATAAAGTCAAAAATGGTTCCATCTTTAGATGCATTGCTTTTTTCATACGAATATGCTCCTTTATTTTTTCATCATATTTAGGTGAACCAAGCATTCACAAGGAAAATGAACATTTATTCGCAATATTATCTATAATACTATTTTCCTGAAGAGACACTGGAAGTTTTTTACAGACAAGTTTAATAAATACTGTGACTTGAGCAATATTCTTAAGCCTCATACCAGTAGTAGAAATGTGGAGGGATATTTTTTTCGTATCAGTACTACTGGCAACAGTAATACTAACTTTTTCCTACTTTAGAAAAATTTCAAGACAAATATCTCTAAAAACACGATTAAGTATATCTAGTATCTCTTTATGTGTAAGCTTAGGTTCAATGCCATTATACACCTCTTGTGACAAATCAAAATCTATAATAGGCCAGAGTAGCTCATCTCTATCAATGAATTCATGTAAGGAATAACCCTCACAATCTGAGAGTATGGCTTCTATTTCATCTGCATTATCTATGCTAAGGAAATGTCTTGGTCTAATACTATTATCACGAATTTTATATAAGTATTTGCCGATATCTTCAGCTTTAAATCCTTGTTTATACAAGGAGAGGGCATTGGAGAGGAACTCTAAAAGCTTTGATTGTGTCATTTTTTCTCAAGCAATTTAAGATAATTTATAGTTATACCAAAACTCAAGATATAATATTAGCAATAAAAAACTTTAAAATGAAATTAATTAACTGAGATTATTAATCAATATACAAATGGAGGCGGAAAAAAAGGTGACACCCTAACATTGTATAATTGTCCATATATTCTTAGGATTGGAGAAGTGTATAATCAGAAATGCTATTATCCAAAGGGATGTAAAGTCTATCAGAATTTTTGGCAAGTTTCTTGCAAACAACTCAGATGCGAGGAATAGACTAGAGGCAGATATGGATTTTGTGATCTACATGCAAAAAAAATTAGAGCAAATAAATACTACCATTAAAAAAGGCTAGCTGAGCTGGCTAAGCTAAACGTGTGTGGATTTTATAATTCATATGCAAAGAAACATAAGACAAAGGAAAAGTATTATCAGAAAAAGCTGGCTGAATTAGCTAAGCTGATTGAGGGAGGTGATTCAGAATAAAAAGTTGTTATTATCCTTATGGCCATTTTGGACACTGAAATTTCTTGGCACAAAGAAAAAAAATTCTTGGTGTCAGCTCTCTGTGACATACTTATATAGCTAATTCGTATTTTTAGAGCTATTGAAAGGTTTCTAGATAGGTGTCACAATGGCACTAAGAATCACGAAGAAAATCAGACTTCTTAACTTTTTTATTTTTTTATTTTCTAGCATATACGTATCATGCATATATTATATATTTATTATACTATATCCCATATAATCATAGGGATAGCATTGAAAATTTTTATTTTTTTTCCTATAACTTTTACTTTTTCTTTGTGATTCTTAGTGACAAAATGACAGATATAAAGGAAGATAGTCTAACGTCTCCAAACTTTGAAAAAAGCATATAAGGGTGTCATAGAGAGCGTTACGAAGAAAAAAAATAAAATTTTATGGTATCAGTATCGTTCTAATGAAGGGGAGGTTTGTGGGCAGAAAAGTAGGAAACAAGAAGGGTGTTGTATTCATCGAAAAAAACGCCAGCGACCTTCATACAAATAAGATGGGTGTGAAAGACCGACAGCTTCTGAATATGGATTTTGTGATTGGCATGTAAAAAAGTATCATTCAAATGCATATTATCATCGGAAAAAGTTGGATAAGATGATTTAGAACTGTCAGATCCTAGAGGCAATGAGACAGGCTCTCGATAGGATAAAATATCTGATGTAATAGAATGTTGGCCTTAAAAAATTGCCTTATTGTTTGTAGTGAAAATTTTCTGAGAACGAGCAGAAAGGACAACTATGTTATCAGTTTTAGTGCTTTTAAATTTTTAGGAAGCCTTCTAGGATATGTGTCTCCCCTGTTCTTACTCACCCTAGTAAAAATCGAAACTCTTATCTTTTTTTATTTTTTTGGAAGGGTGAAAAATTCTTGTGGTGTGTGGTCATGGAATGCATGAAAAAATTACAATTTTTTTTTTTAGAAATTACTACTTTTTACTATAGACAGTAGGGACACTAATCAAGAAAGAAATAAAATAGCCTAATAATCTCAAGAAAGATAACAAACCCGTCCCCTAAAGTCCCCTCTGAAAAATTTCATTACAGACAGAGTGGGCGGCTCACAAAAAATTTGGCATATATATCTTTATATAATATAGCAAAGGAAGAGTATCATCAGAAAAAGCTGCCTGAACTGGCTAAGCTAATTGAAGGAGATGATTCAGAATAAAAAGTTATTATTATCCTTATAGCCATTTTGGACGCTAAAATTATAAATAAAATATATGGTATTACATTTGATAGCTAATAGAACGTCTCTAGCTCCCTTCCAGTTTCATGACAGTTCTAGGAGAGTTCTATGATACCACCAGGACGCTATCACGACGCTATCACGATATTAAATTGGATCCTTAAATCACATACCTAAAAGATCATCCAGAGTTATACCATAGAGCTAGCCAAAATTAATTGCAAATTTAACGCGCCACCTGTCGCCTCTATTTTTATACCATTTCAGTATTTTAAAAGGCAACCAAATAGGCGTAAATTCTCAATATAAAACTAGCAACTAAACAAATACAGAATGTTAGTAATCACAACATGCAATCAGACATTCAAACAAGAATGGAAAGCTAATACTAACAATGTAGAATTTAGAATTTAAATGAATTAGAAACAAGAAGAAAGCAGTAACCATTAGATCATGACATCACCATAAAATTATAGCACCATCATCTATGAAATTACCACCATATTATATAGGAAACAATTAAAACAATGCAATAAATGCAAAGAAACTACCCATAAGTAGATTATGAAGTTCCTATCAGATTATGAATAGCAGGTTATGAAGTTACTACCAGATTATGAAATTAGATTCATCATATTATGAAGTTACAAGCAGACTATGAAGTTACCATTATATTATAAAGTTACTGATAGACTATGAAGTTACTATTATGTTATGAAGTTACCGACAGATTATAAAGTTACCTTCATGACCTAACCCAAGTCGCATGTATCTTTCATAATATAATTATATTATGAAAGTTACATGCGACTGATAATAATTAAGACTTATAGCAATTATAGTGATATAAAACATTTTTTAGTTTAATGTTATAGCAGTTTGTAACAAGTATATTATAATAAATATTGGATTCATTTTTTATTTGATTACAAGCATATTAAGGATTTATATAAGGTCTACATCTGACTATATGCATATTCACATGCATGTAAATCAATTTGTAAATCACTGGGGTTTTCCTGATATCACTAGTCAAATAATGACAAATAGGAGACCAATCGGTTTAAATTTGAGTTGCCAGATTTGACCTGATTAGTCCCCTATTTTTTGTTTTTTTTAGAATCAGGTGATCCCGATTGATGACGATTAATGGCGTAGATAGGATACAATTAAGTTCCAATTGGGGTGTTATAAAGATATCAATAGGGTCAATAGGGATATTCTTATTGGTTTTTTTATTATTATATAAATAGCGTATCCTGATTGGTAACATTTTATCAAATTTATTTAATAATCGTAATAATATTTTATACCAATAAGTAATCCTGATTAATTATAATAAAAAGAATTTTTATTAATATGAAATATTCTGATTGGTAACATTTTATCAAATTTATTTAATAATTGTAATAATATTTTATACTAATAAGTAATCCCGATTAATTAATAAAAAGAATTTTTATTAATATGAAATATCCCGATTGGTAACATTTTATATAAATTTAAACATTACCGATTTATTTAGTATTTATTATAAAATCTACCAATTTCTATCTATCTGTACTACTACTACTACTACTACTACTACTACTATCATACTCAGAAGATACCACACTTTTACTTCTTCTAATTCTCTCCTCCTTATTACTTCCACCTTCATTATCATCATTATTTTTATCAGATTCCTCTTCACGATTGAATTCATTTTTACTATTAGATTCATCTTCACTATTAGATTCCCTCTATAATCAGAATCCTTCTGAAATGGTTCCTCCTGAGTGGTTGGGTTCCTGATATTTAAAATATTTGGAACTATCAGATTCCTGATTATCGCTTTCAGAATGATGTGGAATATGTTTTTCCACTAACAACCTTAATAATCCGGTATATCCAGATCTTGTCTATTTGGGAGCATTTATCGGTGCTTCATTTTCATCAGCCGCAAATTGGGTATCATCATATACCATTTTTCTAGTTCTGCATGCTTTTGATGATTTAGAGTCTTCATTATTCACATAGTCTCACAAAAATAACTGCAACTATTAGAAATAAAAGGATAATTAATACAACCTGATTGATAAAAATAAAAATAAAAATTACTTACTGTGGATGATCGCCATTTGGATTTCTGAATGACGATTTTTTTTTATTAGAATTTTCATCGTCAGTTTCTGAAACCTCTGGGCTATGATATCGATTATCAGTTCGAACTGGTTGGAGTTCATCATTATAAATTTTTCCAACCAGACAGTCCTTTAATCTAATACATCTATCAATAATTCTTACTCGTTATTCTCATTTCTAATATTTTTTTAAAAAAAAAATTTAAAAAAAGTTATTTTATAAACTAATCCGACTGTTTACTTACTTCATGACGACGTGTGTTAGCATGTTTCCTCCTCCTTTAGAAGTCATTCTATTTATCTTCTTTCTTTCTCTTAAGTACTTCTTCTCTTTGTTATCGATGGCATTCATGAATGATGTGCTTTATTATGGAGTCTGACACTGGAAATGCTTTTTTATTGATCGATTTTTGTACAATCGGTATCATATGGGAGGTTTGCCAGGAAAATGGGGCTCTGAGCATTTTTTTTTAAAATTTTAATTTTTATTGCATTTTAATTTTTGATAATGTTAGATTAAAATGCAATAAAAATTAAAATTTTAAAAAAAAATGCTCAGAGCCCCATTTTCCTAGCAAACCTCCCATATGATTTTAAAGTAAAATATATAAATATATATTTTTCTTATATATTTTTTTTTATAATAAAACTAGACTTGTTATAAAATTAATTTTTTAACTAAAATAAATATTAAAAAAAATATTATATAAGAGTAATTTATTAAATTAAAAAAATAAATAAATTTTTCCTTAAGAACTCATCTTCTCGTTTCCACTATTCGAGATTACATCTTATATTGATATCGAAAATATTTGATTTTATTTTAATTATTTCAGAGAACTAATATAAAAAAATCACGAAGTATTTATAGGATAAGCTTTCTCATGAGTATCAGATCGAGCATTATTAATTTTTTCTGAATCAAAATACATAATTAACATTACTAATCTAGAGTAAAAGTATTATAAGCGAAACATGTTCATCCAATATATGATTACATATAAATAATTGTTTTTTTAAAAAAGTCTATAATGTAAAATTTACATTTTTCACACGTGCATCGTACAATTTTCTAATCGAAATCTACGATTAAAGTAAAGTTCAGACCCCATTTTTTCTTTTCTATATGTCCATTGATCGTTCTGCCTTTTAATTTCGCGTATTTCTCTATTACATCCAAATAATCAGCACTACTAATATAACACATCCAACTCATCCTTTTAATTTCAACATTGCAATACTTTAAAAAATTACTTAAACCCAATGGAGTACAACTCCATCCATCAATATCCAAATATTTTAAAGTTTTTGGTAATGATTTTCCTATATCCGGAAAAAACAAATCAATTTCCCATGGCAATCCAAAGTCAGAACACTCCCATTTCTCGGCCGTTATCTCCAATTTTTCTAATCGAGTACAAGATTTTAAGAGTAGTAGTAATTGATTCATTTCCGAATGATTTTGAATCCTTGCTTTATAATGAGTGATATTTGGACAATTTGTAGCGCAAGTAGTAATTATATTAGGATAATCCAATAAATCCATATTCAATCTTACATTCCTTAAAGTTATATTCGCATTTTGGATAATAGCTATGAGTTCTAAATGGGGGTGATCCTGGCCTTGATCATCATTTGGGATTATCCCTTGATCATTAAGATCTTCTACATCTTCAATTAATAAATAATTGGAAAAATAAAGGGTGTGTAATTTCGGGAATATAGTATTTGCTAATGGTTTCATGGTATTGCTCGTTAAGTTATAACATTCTTCGATCTTTAAAGTTTCTAAATTTTTACAACAGATCACCCCATTAAAGATTATATCATTATCGAAGTCACTACGAAAATGACATCCATAAATTTCAATGAAAGTCAAACTATTACGTTGATCACCCAAAGATTTTAATACCTTTAATAAACAACCCCACCAATTTCCAATTGTGAATTTACGTAACTTCCTTTGAGAGGTAATTAAATCTACAAGTGAGTCCCCTTCATTAGAATCACTATCTTCAATGATCATTTCATCAATATTTCTACAATATTGAATCAAAGATCTAAATATAATATCTTTATCATATATTCCTCTTGTAACAAATTTTTTTAATTGAACAAGACAATGTGAAGCACCAGGAAAATTAGTCAGGGCCAACATACAATCTGCTAATCTTCCAAAAGTACCACACCTAATTGCTTTAATATCCAAAGATAAATAATCCAATTTATTACACTTTAACATAAATAACTTACTTAACTCTTGAAGTATAAAAAGAATTTGACGTCCTCGTTGTTTAAAAACTTCAAATCCTGTTGATTGATTTGTTCTATTACGTAAATCGCACCATCTTCTTATCGCCAAATAAACTTCGCTGTAATCCAATTCTCTTAGGAATATTGGGTAATCAAAGGTTGGTGTCGTATCAAAGGAGGAAGAAGGTGTATAAAATTGTAAAATACTTTTCGTTTCTTTGGAGAAGTAGTAAAAATACGCGGGTACAAGTTTTTCTGATTGTTTTTTGATTGCAAGTCGAAAAGGACGTTTCCATAAATGCGGAATCATGGTTTTACACCAAACCCTATTTACTAATATACAAGAATAAAGTGTCTTTACATCATTTTCATCAATAAAACAGAAAATCTTGTTTAATAATTCTGCTGGTAAATAGAAAGACATATTAAAAACAGAGTTACAAATGGATACGCAATAATGACATTGTTAATGTTTTTTTTTTTCAAAAAAATGGATTATCATACGATTTTCGATAGGCGTGTTACGTTACAATTGATTGAATAAGTAAACGATTACGCCTCTAACAGGATATGATATCGTCACCCATGTTTGATTATGGATACAGGAGGTTATTTCCTAAAACGAATGCATTATATTTTTAATTTATATATCAAGTCACTTAATACACTTAATAGATATGAAAGGATCAATATTATTTCCTTGAAAATTATCAACAACTATCAGTCACCGCTGCAGTCTTCAAGTCAGAAGCAATGTAAAAAAAAAAAAATTTTATTTATAAAAAAATGGAATACCGTATATAAATAAAATCGCCGCCCGAGTTAATGTTTCGGGCGGGCGAATACTTGTTTCGACTAATTTGATCTACAAAGTGTTTATAACACCCGAAAACGGCAATATCCCGTGATCGCTATTATTGACAATATATCTGGTAATTGAAACTTGGTCGTTGATCATACTGTTTATGGTCAAGGTTTAAAACCTAAATTAATGCATATAAATTGGTAAACGCCTTTAATAGCAAGAAAAAAGATTTCATTCTTAAAATAAAATAAAAAATAAAAATAAAAAAAATAATATCACTGAAAAAAAAGATGGAATTTTCTTCAGGGGTTGAAATCCCATTCGTTTGTGTGTTTATCATGTTTTTACTTTATTTCGTTGCATTAGTACCAGTACGAAAGGCTCAAGCACAACAAGATGAAGGCTATGATAATTCAAATCCAAGAGACCAATATAATAGATTGGTAAATATAATGAGATTTTCAAAGATGGTTTTAAATTTTATATTAATTTATTTTTCTTGTACGTCTATAGCCGATTTGGGGGAAAAGAGCGGTCGGAGCAGCAAATAATACATTCGAAGGACTTGTTTTCTTCTCTATAGCAGTATTTACGTACGCATTTTCTCATGTGTTTAATTTGAATCCTTTTGGTAATAAATATCAAAAGATTGAAATGACCGCTAATATTTTATGTATCATTTATATCATTTTACGAGTGGTAAGTATTATTAGGATTTATATTATCATAATTCGAATTGAAGTGAATCAATTGCTAATTAATTACTATCGGTTGCGATTTTCTAGATTTATTTTCCTTTGTATTGGTTTGATTATCCAAAAGTCAGAAGTTCAGTTTGGACAATTGGACTTTTATGTATTTTGTCATTATTCATTATTTCGTTTATCTAAATAACATAATCAGCTATTTTATTAGATTATTACTTTAGTTATTAATATTTAATTAATTCCTTGAATTATATTCTAGATGATTGGTGGTGGGTGCTTCGACTTAATGAAAATCTTTAATTAGGTTATGCGATATATAATAAAAAAATAATGTCACGAAACCGTGATTTCTTAATAAAGTGTTATTACAAGATTTTAAAGTTATAATATTAAATTTGCCAGAACTTTAGATAAGCCGAACGTTTGTTTCAATATGTATAAATATTAATTGATTGATATTATTTTCAATTCCATGAGGCATCATATACTAAATATTCAAAAACATTCTTTTCAACAATTTCTTTCGACTATCTTTCATCAAATTCTTTGATAAATTTTTAAATCTCGCTTAGCCTTCTTTCAGTCGGGCTGGTTTCATTTCCAAAATTTTATATTAATAACTCGATATATTATGTAAAAAAAGCTCTTGCCACAACGAGGTGCGTCAATCAACTTTTTATTCGTGATGATGATCGATGATCTCGGTGGTGATCCTTCACTAATGTTATTGGTAATTTAGATCTTGCTGTCATTTTTATTTATTTATTTAATTTTCTATAATATAAATAATAGCTTTAAAAAAAATTATAAATTTTGTTAATTAAAAATATTATTATGGAAAAAATTTGTAAACAAGCAATGGTCGATCTCTTGTGAAATTGATAAATTATTTAAAGATTATCCATCTATCATATAATGTATGTTTAAACATTTTTATGGTTTTTTTTTTTTTTTTTTTGCATCCTGTTTTATTAAGTGTGATATACATCGTTAATAATAATTATGATAAGAATAATAAGAATAATAAAAATAATAAATAACCATTATACTAAATAAATTTATATATTATATTACATTGAAATAGAATCTACAAGGTTATCATCTTAATATAAATCGTGTAATCGTTGAGCGTATGATGAAAAAGTACTTTTCTCTGTCCCATAAAATTTAACTCCATGCGAGACAGTTAATAAATCCACAAATGGCAATAAAAATTTATACATATTCATATTATCTAATGGATTGATTACCTTTTTCAAAGGTTCAAGTAAATAATTAAAATCAGATTGCATAAACGTGCAAGGAAATATTTCGAGAAATGATTGTAAAGTAGGATCTGATTTGTCTTTATCACTTGCCAAGAATACTACTAAAGGTACCGTGTTTGGTTTGATCAAATCATTTTTACATAAATTAAATAATTTGTCACTTTGATGGTTTGGTACGGAATTTTTGATGTAATCATTTATAATCCTTTGCGTCATTTTATCCAAAGTTACGTTTCTGTGATTTTTAAAGAATGAATCACCCAATCTGAAATGAACCCCAATAAAATTTCCTTTACCACCCAACTCATTGATAATATTCCGAGTAATTTCAATCATGATTTGATTATTTGGAACTAATTCTCGTGTTAAATTCTTCCAAAATATTTTACTCTCTGGTAATTCCTTAACGATTCTTAATGCAGAGAACAAACTACCAAAGTGAATTAATTTTTTGTTATTATGATCTTCCTTTAAATTCGAAAGATTGATTCTCATATGATATTTATTTAATGGAATCTTTGAATCTGAATCATCATAAAACTTATGTTGATAAATATGTTTATCTTTTAAGAACAAAAATTCCTTTTCGTTGGTAATACTCAAAGAATTTAGAAGGGATGATAAATTAAAATCACTTCGATGAATTATTTTAATACGTTCTCGTATCCACCTCATATCAAATAATTCTTCCCAGGGATATAAGGTATATTGAATATCTTTGCATTGGTTATTTTTGCAAAATTTAAAATTGTTGGAATTACGATTTAATGGAATCAATCCTGAGTAAAGTTTATCGGTATTCTCGGAATAAATGTGCGATATACCGTCAAGGAAAATTATTGGAGGTAATATCAAGGTTCTATTTAAAAAGTATGCCATGAAGAATGCATTCTCCATTGAGACTCTTTGATTATGAAATCCGCTATGTGGTAAATATGTAATGAATTTTTCATTGGGATCATTTTGGAAAGAATGAATTTCGATTCCATTTCTCTCAAAGAATAAGCGAATGCTTATGATATAAAATATTATAACCGTTACAAGAATAAATAAATTCCTCCTTTTAAGAAATTTCATTTTTTTTTTTGGTGGGAGTGGGGGGTCTATAATAAAGAAGCTTATTTAGAGCAATACATTAATTAGGTATTTATACATTATGACTTTAATCATCTGTTTTGGGTATACATATCAACTGTACTTGTACGGTCAGATTTATTAGAACCAATCATATTTTTATTATACGATAATTATATAAATTCAAAAAGTATACAATTGATTACAATTATTTGGTATACATTACAGTTTATCTACATCCTCGTTTTTTAGCCTTCAATGAAGTAATCTTTTACATATGCTAATGATTATGTACTTACCCTCCTTTGATGAGGCTGATACGTTATTATAAAACAATTTAAAAAATTTTGAACAGGCCGGCTTTAAACGTAAGTGTTGGCAACTCGGCAAATGGAACAACATTAACCGAATAGATTTTTCGGTTTTTATATTATATATAAAAAATCTCGACCGATGTAACATCCGTAACACATTTTCATCCCTATTCAAATATCCTAAATAGGAGACATTCTTGGAAAAATAAGTAAGATAAGATAAAGTCAAAAGATTGTTTATTTTGTTCCTAATTTTGGTATTATATTAAAAATGTTCTTATTTTGGGTTTATAAAGGGTTGGATTTATGTAACAGCCATATTTTACTAACATATCTTCTAAATTAATTTTTTTTTTTTTTTACAAATACAAAATATATAAAGAAATTAGGGATAATTAATTAATTATACACGAGAAGAATTAAAAATAAATTCACATTAATTTTTTTTCTACAAAATTTTAAATTGTTCAAGCCCAAGGATTGTCTTTTTTTTTTTTTTTTTTAGAATAATAAGATAGTATTAATTATTATTAACAGTAATAATGTGCTTGAATGAGTTGATTTACTTTCTGTTCCAGAAGTGGATTGAAGGTTATTATCACCTTGTTTTACATCATTGGCAGTTTGCTCATTAGGATTATTTTTAATCGTGTATCTGAATTCAAAAAAAAACTTTAATTTGGTTTTTCTCGAAAAAGGTAAAGAAGAATTTCATAAACACATACCCTAAAGCCTCTAAAACCTTGAGAGTCTTTGGACCGATGGGATTGGTATAATCGGAAACATTACCATTGATAGATAGCAGATTTTCCATGGTGACTTGACGTGGGGATCTCCATCTCATTAAGAAATCGGTAGAATTGCTAAAAGTATCAAAATCTCCATGTTTTAAGGTAGAACCCTGTTTATAGGGGACCAAAGAGGTTTCGATTGTATATAAATCATTATCGGATAACTTGAATACGATAGAATCTTTCGTGATACTGTTTTGAAGCATTTGTTTACATTCTAGATATTGACTGGAATTTGTGAACGCATTTGTAAATTCTTGTTCATTTGCAAACGTGGTCGTGGAATTTGCAAATTGATTTATTTTATCAGCGATAGATGAGAGAGGAATATTATCTTTGGTTAATGATAAATATCTATCAAAAGGAAATTCTTGAAATCCGGTAAATGTGATTGGTCCAATATTTGATGATGAGAGATCATCAGTGGTAATTAAGAATGATGGGAAAGGAGATAGACCGATTGGGGTATCAAAATTTAAGTACTCATCCCAAGAAGAAAGAAATCCTAAACCATGTAAGAATTCATGCGCCAAGACCAATTCAAAATCTACCTGATCTTTGCCAATTTCGGGATCACCTCTAAACCAAAAAGTTGATATTTCAGAATTAAACCCAGCTTGAATGTCAACCTCCGAGTATTCGGGATGCTTTTCTAATTTAAATTGTTTCACCAATGCCTGTGGATATAATCTCGTCTTTTCATCATCATCCTTTAAAGGGATGAGCCTTGACGGTCCCGCAGCTCCAAGTGGTCCCGGTTTGGTCGGATCACAATTTATGAAACTACCACATATTTTGGTAAAGCTGGCGTTAATTATTATTGGAACTTTGAAATCTATTGTATCCGAAACCAAGTTTGCTACGTTTTGAAAAGCTGTTTTCGCCTTTTTACATAATACGGGTTTATTCTTTTCATCGCATGTAAATAATATTTGTATCATGTCATTGTTATCAAGTTGTTCAAGTGGCGCATTTGTCATTTTTAATAGGCTTGTGTTGCCTTTTGGTGGATCTTCAATTTGAGGACAAAGTTTACCTTGCCTTTGAGCATGATCGAATATATTGAGATCTACACATTGTGAACGCGCGGAAGGAAATTTAAAGATTAACGATAGGAGCGAGATGAATAGAATGTACTTTGTGAGCATTTTTCTTTTCTTTTTTTTTTTTTTTTTATAAAAAAAAAAAGGATTTTAGGGGCAGAGTAATTACTTTATATTATTATTTTTTTTTTTTTTTCCTGCGCGCTGCGACAGGTATGGATTTTTTACAATTAGGAAAAAAAAAAAAAAAAAAGAGATGATTAAAATAAGAAGAATATTTTATCTAGTAATTGACTGAGGGAAAAAAAATTTTTAACGACGTGAACATGTTTATAAATACTTTTTTTCTCGTTACATGTAGGTGCATGATGATCGAATTTTGAAGTACCTTTTCATCTAATAAAATCAACGATAAACAAAAGAAACAATAGCGGTTTTTTATCCGAAACGGCTATGATTGTTTAGAATGATTACCCCGGAAAAAGAAATACTATAAGCATACTTGACATTTATTTGCCAAGTATTGACAAATAGACAATAAATAATTTGTTGATATCCTATCACCCAAATATGGGAATTTCCATGTAAGCGAGCATGCTCGCATTGCATGGATTAACCAAGAAAGCGGAAATGTTTATATGATTTATTAACCAAATTAATAATCTTGTTTATTCCCCCCTTGTCGAAAGGGTTAAATTCAAAGAATTTGCCTTCACAAAAAAATGTGATCTCATGAAATTCTCTTCGATTTGACGTTATCCCAGATCTACAGTTTCGATCACAAACATTTGTTTCAGCTTAAATGAAAAGAACAATGAAACTTGCACAGTTTCTTTTTTTTTTAATGGTTGTGGTAAAAAAGAAAGTCATTCCCGTTATTAGAAAAAATTACGTTATTCCTAACGAAGTAGAATATCAAAGAATATCTTTAGAGAAGAAATATATTTTATCAGTCAAAGGTAAACTTTTAAACCGTGGTATCTCATTTATAGTAAAGGATTTTAATTTTATAAAAAATAAATAAATAAATAAATAAAATGATATACTCAATTCTAATTTTAGAATTTTTTATTTTGGCAAATTTTTTAATTTTATTTATGCATATGCTGTTGGCTGATGTGCGATAAATATTCAATATTAAGTTGCCTAGTCGAAACTAGTTTCTGAAATAAGTTTAGGCAAAGTAATATTAATATTGTTTTAAATATAGATTAGCAAATTGGGGACAAAAATCAATACCCAACTAACCACATGGAATAAATCAATGTAGCGTGAGATATTTTTGTAACAACTAGCTTCCAAAGCTTGGAACGAACATGTGCAATTTGATTGCGCATTGTTCTGAGCTAAAAATACATTCGACATAAAGAAAATGCAAAAGGATCCTAAATGTATATTATTACTAAATCAAGAATCCAAATAGCAAACGCCTGCTCTATACTAGGTTTCTTAATAGTTCAATTATTGAGAAAAAAAAATATATATCTCTTTTCGCTAAAAACCCTACTCATATCTTGAAAGATTATTCATTCGATTAAAAGATGGTTTATTTAGTAACGCGGGGGGTTTTGTCTTGAAACAATATGTATGTAGGTATCCGTTGTATAATTAGCTATTTGAATTAAATATTAATGATAATAAAGTGAATGTTATGTCTATTAATCTCTATTTATTTCGGTTTTTATTATTGTTGGAAAAAAAAAAAAAAAGATTGAAATTTTTTATTTTAGTGTCCATCGTGAAACATCGTTACGGATCTTCTTATTTCCACCATTTATTAATCTATGCCTTTCCTCGCTAATCCTTTTTGTAAAATTACTCAATATTCTAGCACATTGACGTGGTCCACTTACAAAATAATCCCCTCCGATCAAAACCAACTTGTCAAGTATTCCTTGAACTCCAGATTCATCAAACTCTTGATCGATTTCTTTTCGGTACTCGGGAAATTCTTCATAAAGGTAATCTAACGATCTCATTGATACCCAAGTGTTTAACGTAAAAGCCGATCTTAACTGTTTCATCGCCAAATGATGATTATTGTTTATGTTTATGAATGTATTTGATTGTGTTTTATTTTCCCCCACATTGGTTAAAGGATAATCCGTGGCAAAAAATACGTTCTTAATATTACTCGTGGTTTTCATCTTTTCGATATATTTAATCAACCCTTTGGCGCAAGCAGGCATCATTTCTGGTTTTGCCGATTCCATTCTCCAGTGAATCCCTATAAATTTACTTAATCGTTCCTTCACCTTATTCGCCGCTTCCATCAAGTGGTTGGCATAAGGCAATGGTATAATGGGTCCCTTTGAAGGGAATAGGGGATACCTAAGTTCGTGTCTAATTAATATGACCGGTTCGTTAAGATCTAGGTGCTTTGTTAGGTAATCTATGATGACAAGGTTACTCATCTGCGTTGTCCAATAACTTCTTAACCCAATATAAAGCATCTTGACAATGGAATCATCTTTTTTAAAATTAAGGTCAAATTGTTCAAGACATTCATCCTTTAATAGGACATCCAAATCTATCGTTATCGTTCTTGACGTATTAGGTATACCATCTTGTTCAATATACCTGAAAATGGTGTCGGGTTTACGATAAAGTTGTTTGGTCCAATTTAGAAAATCCTGTTGCGTGATAAAATTTACCCTTGGAAACAATGCCTTGATCGCCTCCACGTTATAATAGAAACTAAACGGAAGGTTTTGACAAGATCCCAATCTCGAATTTTGTACATTTACCAATACGATTGTACGGTTAAGCATTTCCGCCAATTGTATAAATGAATAAAAATGTGAATTTGCTTGTGATTCTTGTTCTGTTATATAATGTGCAAATAAGAATTTGCATTCGGCCGATCCGCAGTACTTTTTATTTATCTCGATATCGTGTGCTATTTTTACATCCTCGGCTTCGGCATTATCATTAATGAGTGTCGTCTATATTTTTTTAAAAAAAAAAATTTAATTTTTTGGGGTAAAAAAAAAAAATGAGGAAGGAAAGCGAAGGAATGATTTTTAACTTACGTCTAATGTGGGTACGAGTTCGTTCCCGCCAATATTATCTACGGTTTCATTCTGTTCCTTTATATAAAACAAATAATTGCTAACGTTCCAAATGACGATACAGATGAAAAGAGCTTTAAAGATTAATGAAAGAGTGTGCCTCGTTTGTAGGAATGGGATAATTTCTAAATTCTTATTCTCTTTTGAAAACATACTTTTGCTTGTAATTTCACAACAATAAAGGAATGTGAAAAAAAAACAATGTACTTGACAAGTGTGGAATCTGCTAATGGTGGATCGTTTAAAAAAATCCACAATCTTATTTATACTCAAAATCATGATTTGTGTTTCAATTATATATTTTATTCTTACAACGTTAGAACAAGAAGACTTGGCGCAAATCATTCCACCGTTCCCTTCAGAGATTCAGAATACGCCTCGACGCCATGGAATCTCTTAGAGCTTCACAGGAGATTCGGAAATTACGGAGGGTCGGCTTTTTATTGATTACCTCATATGTACATGAATTACATTTAACAAGCACTTATGAATATTACCTTTATAGTTCAATAAATTTATTAAATGTACAAAAGTAACCAAAGAATTTAATTATACCGAAAATACATGGAATATTTGTCAAATCAATATCGATATAGGCTCATAAATATCTTTTTTTGTAAACAATAATAAAGGAATTATCATCCAACTTTAATTTGGTTAAAATTTTTTTAAGAGTATAGGGCGCAAACTAATTTAGTTTTATACCCCGAAATTAGATAGAACCGTTTTAAGTATGAGTGGAAAAAAAATACGTTTTATGTTTTAAGGATTTTCGGTGTAATCCCTAAACAGGTTCAACAAGAAATGTTAAAATGGACTGGTCTTGGCTTTAATTAGTTCAATATTATCACATCTAAATGAGTAACTGCTGTATTTGCAATAAGCAATATGTTTAGTGAAATTTTACTGAGCTCCAAGAATGTGCCGCAGTTATGAGGCACATAACTGCATATTGTAATAACGAGTTATACTGGATCTTCGAATCTACATCAATATTTATTACCAATTATAGCTTAAGTTTGATGAATATCGATAATTTAGCTTTTTAAGATCAATTTATTTAGAGAAAAATCTTTACAATAGTATGTTTATGCTTTCCAAGAAATTATGCGAAATCTTTAATAAAAGTATGTTGTTCATATGACAATCATTCATCTTTGTAATTTTTAATATATTATTTTCATTATTCGAAAAGTATTCTTTGCTATCTATCTGAAAGCGCAGAGAAGAATAATAATTTTAAAGAACCTGAATGTCCTGAATGTAATGGACCGTATGCAACGGCCAGATGGTGCAAAGAGTGCAATGCTAAAAGGTTTCGACAGAATTTTCCTAATTGGACTAGTAGAAATGAATTCATCGATAAATTCATTCAAGAATCTCAGTTGAACGCTTCGAGAGAAAGCCTAGTTTTAGAATGGATTCCATATGATAGATTTGAAAATATTGAATATCTTGATAAAGGGGGATTTAGTATTGTATATAAGGCCAATTGGTTGGATGGACACATCAAGGAATGGTCTTGTGATAAAAAGCAATGGGTTAGACATAAGTATGAATGGCCTGTAGCTCTTAAATGTATAAATGATTCATCAAATTTAAATGAGGAATTTTTGAATGAGGTATGAATATTAATTTTTTATTTATTCCAAGTTATAATTAATTCAGTTCAAATTCAAAAAAAAAAATAATAATAATAATAATTTTAATTTATGACCTATTAGTGGAAGTATCATTATAAATGTAGCCAATTAACGCATAACCTTGTTCAATTATACGGTTTTACTCAAGATCCAAATACTTTAAATTATATGATAGCAATGACATTTGAAGAGAAAGGAAGTTTAAGGAAATGTTTACCCAATATATTTAAAGAGGATTGGTGTTTTAAAATGGATTTTTTGAACCGTATCATTAGTGGACTTGCTACCATACATCAATTAAATTACGTTCATCGTGATTTTCATGATGGCAATATTTTAAATCCTGATATTTGTGATTTGGGATTATGTAAACCTGTGTCAGAATTTCGATCTCCAACTCAAAACGATCATATTTATGGTGTTTTGCCATTCGTAGCACCTGAAGTTTTAAAAGGTAACCCTTATACTCCCGCTAGTGATATATATAGTTTTTCCATAATTATGTGGGAATTGATTTCCGGAATTCCTCCATTTAATGATAGAGCGCATGATTTTTATCTTGGTTTAAGTATTTGTAAAGGCGAACGTCCTAAAAACATTGAAAACATTCCACAAGGTTATATAGATTTGATGAAAAGATGCTGGGATGATGATCCGTTAAAAAGGCCAGATACATTAGAAATTAAGGATGTTATTGGGAGTTGGATCGATGGTCTTTATAATAATAATGTTGATGAAAAATTCTTAAATGATGTTATAGAATTTCGAAAACAAGATAAAATTTTAAAACAAAATCAAACTAATATTTCTTTTACATCTTTTACAACTGAACCTACCAAATCTCATCCACGAGCGTATTATACGAGTCGTTTACTTGATTTTACCAAAAAATTGAATGAAGTTCTAAATGATGATGACCGTTGTAAAATAGGAATACAAGATATTGGTAATTATTCTAACGTTGATTAAAGTGAAAAATTCAAGATTAATTGGTTTTTAATATATTTATATTTTTATTTATTTTATTTTATTTTATAGATGATTTAGATGATGCTATTAGTAAGTAATAAAAATTTTACAATCATTGTGCCATTTTACCAACGATTATTTTACTGACAATCACGATCATCCTATTTAAATGTGATCAATAAAAATTATTTACAGATGAAGCATTCAAATCAAATGATGGGACTTAAATAGATTTTATTCATTAAAAAAGAAAACATATTAATATCATCTATTGGATCAATTATTTGCTATTAAGGAAAATTTTCAAGAAATAATTCAAAAATTGTTTCAATTCACATAAAGGAGTGAATTTGTTGATACTTATCAATGGAATAAAATTCAATGTTTTTATATCAGAAGCACAAATTTTAGATATGCTGAAACTTGGTAAAACTAATTTTTAAAAAAATTAGGTTATATGATGATGAAATTGGTTAAACTAGTTAAAAATAGTTTTGATAATCATCATTAGGTTATAGCAAATTTTTTATCACATAATTAGTTTTTATTATTAGAGACTTTTATTAAATTTTATTAGAATAAATAATAAATTTATTATAATTCTTTATTAAAATTAACTTTATTAGATTCTTTAATTTCTTTAAAAACTTTGTTATAAATGCAAAATAAATATTAAATAAATTATCCCTTTAATGGTAAAAAATTGCATGCAAATTTGCTTGCAATTTTAAACAATTTTAATTAATTTTTAACATAAATTTTTATTATTAAACCTATCGATTTTTTTGATTTTTACTTAAAATTCATTATAAATTTTATTATAAAAATAT